ACAGCACCTGTGCATTTTAACAAAGCAGGAAAGTAAAATTATTACAGGAAACTTCTGAAAATTATTCTGGCTATCTTTACTAACTTAATGAGTTAGTTATCAATAAGTTGAACTGCCTTTAGTTTTCAAACAACAATGACAACTACAACAACAACAACAAAAAAAAATGGGATCCCACTATTACCTAGGCTAGTCTTCAAACTCCTGGCCTCAAGTGACCCTCCTGCCTTGGCCTTCCAAAAGTGCTAGGATTGCAGGCATGAGCCCCCTCACCCAGCCTATACCTGCATTTCAAAAACAATTTATCTATAGGTGATTATTTCAGGGTATGTTGGAGGAGGAGATCTGCATAATTTTAACTGATTTTTTCAGACAGAAGAAACTTGTTATAGTTTTTCATAATTGGTATCCATTACTAATGATAAGTCCTTTTATCTTTTCCTCTGAGATAATTTCTGGTTCAAAAAGGTGAAATAAGCAAACAAGAAAAGGGAAGTTCTTTTTAGTAATTCTACATAACATGATTTTTTGGGTCTCTTACCTCTCATTTATTGTCTGTATTTGAGTTTGATACATTCATTTTCCTTAAATTATTTAAAGGCAGAAGGGTTCTTAAAGAACTCAGATTGTAACTGTAAATGTGACCCATAAAGCTTTGGTTGCTTTTCTGTTTGGAATATAGCAATAGAATTATGTATTTTTTTTAAAAAAGAAATGGCTCTGGACAGGTACAGTGGCTCACGCCTGTAATCCCAGCACTCTGGGAGTCCGAGGCGGGTGGATTGCTTGAGCTCACAGGTTCGAGACCAGCCTGAGCAAGAGCCAGACCCATCTCTAAAAATAGCTGGGTATTATGGTGCACACATATAGTCCCAGCGACTCGGGAGAGAAGCAAGAAAATCACATGAGCCCAAGAGTTTGAGGTTGCTCTGAGCTGTGATGCAGTGGCACTCTACTGAGGGCAACAAAGTGAGACTGTGTCTCAAAAAAAAGGAAATGGCTATGTTAGGGGGTCCAGGGAAAAGAAAGACCATGGTATTTATAGAAGTGTACAACCCTGATGATGGTCTATGATAGTAGAGTGATTTGAGTATGAATCAAACTTAAAAGAATCCAATATTATAGGAGTATATAACAGACTTGCAGAGCAGTTTGGAGGGTATGCTTTCCTAATTCCGTTTATAGACTCTGCAGAAATATAACAGTGCTGGGGATTTCAAATGTCTGACATTTCTAGAAGCAGAATTTCTACTCTGAATTATGAATAATAAAGGATAACTAGTGCAAAAGGAAGTAAAGAAAATGCGGAGACTCTCCAGACATATTCTGTTGACTTCAAGAAAGTAGATTTGGAAAAGACCAGAAAAAAAGATAAATATGATCTATGGCCTATAACTATAAAAGTGATGATGACTTTAAGAATGAGAGACTTTATAGAACAAACAATAACATCCACAAGATATTTACACAAAAGAAAAATTTCTGACAGTCCCATTGGGAAGGAAAGAGTTGTTTTCAAAACTCAGCTCAGCTGGTGACCTGGCTGAGTTCACAAGCTAAAAGGCCCATTAGAAGGGAGGGCATTTATCAAGGGTAAGCTCCATATGAAGAGTGATGCTCTTCTGGAACAAGCCAAGATAAACAAAAGGATTTTAAAATTGGTTCCAAGTATAAGAATTTCAGAAAAGAAAGATCTTACATGGTTTAGGTACTCTATGCAGAATGATTAATATGACTGATAAGGAGTTAGATGCCTGTTGGGATTGGATTCTTTTCCTTGCGGCCTCCTGTTGTTCCTGGATTTTGTTTTTTTGTTTTTTGTTTTATGGGTTTTTTTTTTTTTTTGGCCAGAACTGAGTTTTGGGGCCGCCCCTCCTACTCATTTGAGCTACAGGCGCCGCCCCTGTTCCTGGTTTTTGTAGCTAGGAAGAATGAGTTTTAAAATAGTTGTAATGACTCCTTATGGATAAATTAGAACATTGGGGCTGAGAAGTGAATTTAGAATTGACTGAACAATCAGATTGACAAATTGATAATTTATCAATTGTTTTCCTGAAGTAACAGGAATACTTTAAAACATTGAAAAAATTATTTTGAGGCAATTTTAAATTTTCATAGAAGTTACAGAAATAATATACAGAGCTCCCATATAGCCTTCCTTAGATTACCTAAATTCAGCAAACATTTCTGAACTATTTGAAAATAGTGCCCCATTGTCTATTAATACTTCTTTGTGTATCTTCTCAAAACAAGTGGAGTCTTTCCTACACAATTACAGTATGACTGTCAGTGAGGAAGTTAACGTTGATGATGTAGTACTATGGTCTGTTTTACAGACCTCATTAATGTTTTCGTGATTATTACAATAATGCCCTCTAGCTTCAGGGACCAATCTGGGCTCTATGTGTGTTGAATTTAATTGTCATGTTTTATCTGGACTAGTACCTCAGTCTTTACTTGTCTTTCATGTCTTGACATTTATTTTTAAGAGTACAAGGCAGTTGTTTTGAGATTTGATGCCTGACATTTCTTTATGACTTACGCATCTTTGGCAGGAATACCACAAAGCGATGCTGTGTTCTCAGTGCATCGTAGCAGGAGGCACGTGATGTTAATTTGTCCTATTGCTGGTGATGTTGCTCTGTAGTCATGTGATTTCTCCACTGTAGAGTTCCTTTTAGTGGAAAATGGTATTTAGAACCAAGAACTGGGTGCTAATTGTACTCATTGCTATTACGGCATCCTTGCTTCTAGGCCCTCTCAGAAGACAGAGCTAAGAAATATTTTTGTGTATTTATTTATTTATATATATCTCTCTCTCACACATATACACATGAGTATGGATATACGTATGTATATGCACATAGGATTATATCTGTCTGTCTTTATATACTAAAAGCATTCATCATCATTTCTAATCTAATACCATAGATTTATTCTAGCATTCTTCTATATATTTGTGACTTCCTTTTCTGAAAGTAAGAAATACAGCTCCCTTTATCCATCCTGTGTTTTCTGGTTACCCATTCTCCCTGTGTATAAACAAATTCTTGACTACACTGATTGAAGCTCAGTCTCGTACACATTGTTCCCCAGCCCCAATGGGCACACCAGTCCTGGTCTGGCCCACAGAAAGCAATAGTATGTTCTAAAGTGTATAGCTGCCTTCTTTCTAGTATTTCACAAAGTCCAGCTGCCACAACCTCCTTGAATTCTGCTCACTTTTTCTTCAGCTCACTGAGATTATTGTTCTCTGCTTGGTTTTCCTTCCCTTTTCTGCACTGGGATCTAGAAAATGTTTTCCATCAGAAAGCTGGCATTATTGTATGCCTCACCTATAGTTTTGGACAACCTGTTCCCCAGTGTCTAAAGCGATGCATTTTGTCTAGGTTTTTTGTTGTTTCCAGTGGGAGGCCTAGTCTAGTACCAAATCATGGCTAGAGATGGAAGTTGCTTTAGTATTAACTTCCCCAAATGAAAGATGAGGATATAGCTGTCTTTTGCTGTCCTCTTTCCTTACTCCTCCCTCTCAATCACAAAATACATACTTTTCCCTTTTTTGTATTATCCCAATGTAATTATATTTATCTTATTCTGACTACAGAAACATTATACTCAGCTGTAGTAATACTAATGCACTTTTCCTTTTAACTTTTTTATTTCTCCAGAGTTAATAATTATTTTGTTTTGCTTTTTTGGTTTGTTTAATATGTTTTGTACTTAACATTATGACTCAGGCTATTTTTCAATTGGTCTAAATCTCCTTTTGATACTCAGGACATCGGGCATTCTTTCGTCTTCCTGGAGATCTCACTCCACGCCTCTCTGTTTGCTCCCGGCTGGGCAGGTTGTGCTCTGGGCCCTGTACACGTTTGTCATTGTGGGCTATCTCGTTATTATCTGTCCCTTTGGCTCGCTCCTCTATGGATGCTCTTGTTCTTGCGTACCATGTCCCCCCCCATTCTTCGTTTACTCATTTTTTAGTGCCTTCTCTAGTAGTTTCCTGAAAGGGAAGGTGGAAGGGAGGTAAATATTTTTAAACCTTAAGGTATGAACCTGCATAGCTTGGGAGATGCTACAATTCTCAACTGGAGAATAATTTTCTTTCAAAATATTGGTGGCATTGTTCTGTTGTATTTGTTCTGTTGTATTTTAGCTTACTTGAGTTGCTGTTGAATCTTAAGTTATTATGATTCCTAGTCCTTTATATATGATCTATTCCTTCCCCCAAACCCTGCAAACTTTTAGGATCTTTTCTTTATCCAAAGTGGTCTGACATTTTGTGATGATAGGGCTTTGCTAGGGTCT